TCGAATGCCATCGAGCCAATTCTGACTCACAGCAGCCCTTGTGGAGGTCCTGAGGCTATAGATCTTGACAGGAACAGAAAGCCTCATCTTTCTCCTTCTGAGTGGCTGGTAGGTTCCAACTACTGACCTCATGATTACTAACCCAACATGTAACCCACTCTGTCTTCAAATAAAAGTTGGGGAAAGACCAGGGCTTTCCCCTCGAGCTGAGAGAAAGTGCACTGAATTCAGCCATCTAGCCTCCTAAGAGTGGTGGTGATATAATGGATTATGCAATGAGCTACTAACCACAAGGTTGGCAGTTCAAAACCACTAGCCTCTCTTTGAGTGAAAGATGAGGCGTTCTATTCCTATAAAGATTTATAATCTTGAAAACCCACAGGGGACAGTCCTACCTTGTCCAAGAGGGTTGCTATGAGTTAGAATCAACTCAATGGCAGTGAGAGCCTCCTAAACTGTACAATTCTGTTCATTAGAGCCACACACGTGCAGTATTTCTGTTACTCTGTTGCCATTAGGCGACTTTGAGTCCATTCTGACTTGTACCGGCCCCACACACAGCAGAGCAGAACCCTGGGCGGTCCTGTGCCATCTTCAATTGTCACGCTTCAGGCTCTGGTTGCAGGCCTGTGTGGATCTGTCTCAGTGATGGTCTTCCTCTGTTCCACTGGTCCTCCGCTTGACTAACCAGGATGTGCTTTTCCAGGGGCTCATCTGCAGGGGGTGACACGTCCAAAGTACATGAGATGAAGTCTTGCCGTCCTTGCTTCGAGGGGACATCCTGACTGTACTTCTCCTGAGACCGAGTTGTTCTGGCAGTCCGCGGGACCTTTAATGTTCTTCATCAGCCCCATCACTCAAGTGCATCTATTCTTCTTTCCTTATTCACTGTCCAACGTTTCACAGGCAGAATAGAAAGTAATATAAAGTACCATGGCTTGAGTCAGGCATACCCTAGTATTCAAAGTAACATCTTTATTCTTCAATGGTTTTTAAAAGAGGTCTTGTACAGCAGATTTGTGCAATGCAATATACCCCTTGATTTCTTGATGGCTGCTTCCATGAGCATTGCTTGTGGATTCAAGGAAAATTAAATCCTTATATATATATATTTATACAGAGAGAAGGAACAGCTCATTAGTCCACACAGCAGTACAGAGGGATCAGTTCAACTCATTTTGTGGAACAGTTAATAGACTGGAAATCCTTCAACTCGTGGGCTGCTAGGTTCAAGATCAAGGAAGCAGACAGCTGAGTCCTCCCTCGGGCAAGACAAGCAGCAAGCAGCAGGGTGGGAACCCAAGAGTCAGTAGCTCAGGAGCTTAGCGAAGCAGACCCAGATGGGACATGCAACATAAGCAATGCAAGGCAACAGGATCCATCAGCCTCAAGCTCAAGCGATGTACGCACCAGCAGCGTGGTGAAGCAGGTTTCAAAGGAGCCTCAACTCCAGCAACATGATCCATGGGTTGGCCTGGCCCACAGGTAGTGTAGCTCACCGGTTGAGGTAGAGAACTTGCTACAGCAGCTGCAGAGAGCAAGAGACAGTGGGGGGGCCTTGCAGAGCAATTTATCTCTTTGGCCTCCAATCAAACTGTGACCTGATTAATCCCACATGTTCCTATTGGTCAGTTTGGCACAATAAACCTAACTATCGCACTGGGTTTATCATGATGTTGTCTACTGGGCCAATTATGGGGATTTTTACTTTCTTTGTGTTGAGTTGTAATCTGTCCTGAAGGCTGTAGTCTTCAATCTTCTTCAATGAGTGCTTCCAGTTCTCCTCGCTTTCAGCAAGCAAGGTGTGTCATCTGCATATCACTGGCAGATTGTTAGGATGCCTCCCTCCACTCCTGATGCCATGTTCTTCTTCACATAGTCCAGCTTCTCACATTATTTGCTCAGCATACAGGTTGAATAAGAGTGATGAAAAAAATACAGCCCTGACACACACCTCTCCTGATTTTAACCTTGTAGCACTCCCTTGTTCTATTCACACAACTGCCTCTTGATCTATGTACAGACAGGTTCCACATAAGCATGATTAAGTGTTCTAGAATTCACGTTCTTCTCAGTGTTATCTGTAGTTTGTTGTGACCCACATTGTTAACTATCTTTGCATGGTCAATGAAAAACAAGTAAATATCTTTCTGGTATTCTCGCCTTCAAGATCCCGCTGATATCAGCAGTGATATTCCTCATGCCACAGCCTCTTTTAAATCTGGCTTAATTTCAATGTGCCCCTGAATGATCTTCAGCAAACTTTTACTTGCATGTGCTATTAAAGACATTGTTTGATCATTTCCACATTCTATTGAGTAACTTTTCTTTGGAAAGGGCACAAATTTGGACAGGCAACTGTTCTCCAAATTTCTTGGAAACATTAGTGAGTGGTTCTGGTGGTTAATCAGCTTGTTGAAACGTTTCATTCAGTATTCTGTCAATTCCTGGACCCTTATTTTTCGCTAATGCCTTCAGTACAGCTTGGTCTTCTGTCTTCAATACCGTTAATTCTTGATCATAAACTACCTCTTGAAATGATTGATGGTCAATTAATCCTTTTTGTACAGTGACTCCATGTATTCCTCCTATCTTCTTTGACTGCTTCCTGCATCGTTCAATATTTTGACCATGGAATCCTTGCGACTTAGATAAGAAAAAATCATGCTCAGCATATCTCAGGCTGAATGAATAGAAGGGAAAATTCACCCTTCCAGTGGAAATACTGAAGGATTCCATGGGCACGGTTTCTGTTACATCAGCACACTGGCTCATTAACATAACAAAAGAAAAGTCTTTCTTTCCCAGCAGGGTCAGAAGTTAGGATTTCAATACATGTCTTGGGAGACACAATTGAATCTATAGCACTGACAAGTGAATCTATAGCACTGACAATTGAATCTATAGCACTGACAAGTGAATCTATAGCACTGACAA